ATTGATTATATCAGCGCTTCGATCGATTCGGAGTTGGCCCCAAAGGAGTCTCCCCCCTTAACAACTACTCGCGTCTTTATTTTGTCTTTGCTGAAAACGGTTTGATGGGCTGAAACAGCCACTCAAAGTTCATCGCTCGAAACATATTTTTTACGATTACATGTGAACTAACCGTCGTATCGAGAATTTTTAACGTAGAATTATATGGATGTATAGGCGTAGCCAAGGGGGTGGGATGTGCAGAGGGAGCACTTGCCCCCCCCCTGGACGGAAAATAGTATAATAACTCTTACCCCTCCCTACAAGAATAAAATTGAATTTTGCCCCCCTCTCCCTTCCCAGAGTTATAAAATTTTTGCGTAATATTTAATATTGCAGTATAACTTGAAACACGACCAACAGCCTCTATTCACAAAATGCATACATTTTCAACGATTTGTGACTTTAAAAGCAAACTAAAACGTGTCTGGCTACGTGCAGCCTTTTTCACTGTGGCAATCGATGTGTAATATTTTTGTACCCCCCACCCCACCCCACCACCGACTGATAACCTGGCTACGCCTATGTATGGATGCATAAATAAATTTGTCAACTGCGGTTTTTGAAGCAAAACCTGCCCCCTCCAAGAGTTTAAAATTTTTTTAAGTTATTGGAATATCATTACAGTTCGATCCTCTCGCTGCATTAGTGGAGCAGTCCATGTGTGTGACGGAGACAGTGCGAGACTTGACACATACATCGGCTGGGGTAACTAGCGACTCTTAAACGACAAAGCAGGGCGACATGCCCTTCCAATAATGCAGCAAGGGAATTGCACTGTAATGATATTCCAAAAATTTAAAAAAAATTATTTAATTCCTAGAGTGGAGGTTTTATTTAAAAACTCGAAGATGACGCATTTTTTATACACCCATATAATTCTACGTTAGAAACAGAGCAATTTTCGTTTCAAACATTTTTGAATACAACGATCAGTATACACGTAATCTCAAGAAGTATGTTTTGAGCAGCGAACATTGAGTGACTGTTTCACTGCTTAAAACCGTTTTCAGGAAAATCAAAAAAATATGTTTTAATAATTTTTAATTCTCTACAAATTCATGTCAGTTTGAATGGAAAAAATGTTCGCTTTGAGGATGTTCTATTGTTAGTAATTCCCTAAGGAGGGAGCCTGGCGTAAGCAGCTAAAAATAAACGATTCTTTGGGAATTTATTGTCAAGACAGTATTAAACCAATTTCTTTGAAACTTTGAGTATACTTTATTGTACAATTAAACTGAGTCCAAAATTTTGTATTTTCACGAGAAATCCATAAATATTAAAGTTATGAGAATTTATGTGCAGCCCGTGAGGAAAAAAGATGCTTCACACCGGGGTATGTAACTAAAAGAATATTCAACCAACTGTCCCAGCCTTGCATGTACATATTCTTTAACATCTTCTTCACAGCATGAGCCTATTTTGAAGTTAAAAAATGCAAAATTGAAAGGAATGACGACATTTGAAAAACAAAAGATAACTTTTTTAGTACAAAATGCTAAGAAATATGATTTATTGAAGCAATAAAATTATAAATGTAGGTTCATGCTGTGAAGAAGATGTTAACAAATGTGTACACGCAATGCCGGGTCAGTTCGTTGAATATTTTTTGAGTTACGGTCCCCGGCGCGGAACACCATAAATTCTTATAACCTTAATATTTATGGATTTCTCGTGAAAATACAAATTTTTGGGCTCAGTTTAATTGTGCAATAAAGTATTCTCAAAGGTTCAAAGAGATTGGTTTAATAATTTGGTCACAAGAAATTTCCAAACATTTATTCATTTTTAGCCCGTTTACACCAGTCGCTCCCCGTTATTGTGTCTATACAGGGTGTTAATAAAAATGTGGGACACTTTCACAGCGTGCATTCTACGCGCAAAACTAAAACAAAAATAAAGAATTACGAAATTGCGTTCGAAGCTTCGTTTCCGAGTTACTCGTAGTTGAAAATGCAGGCCAACACGCGTGAAATATCTACGTCTGGCGCGATGGGTTATACTACCTGAACAGTTGATTCCCAGCTGATACACAAGATCGATCGATGACCTAGTTAAATTTCTGAATGAAATAACATCAAATGAATGAAACCAACACATGAGACAATTGAAGATCACGCCTCTCAAGTAGAATAGTCCGTTCTGTCAGACACATTCTATGTGTAATTCGCCCGTTTTTTAACAATAATTTGGATATGAAGCCTCGATCACAACTTCGTCATTTCTTGATTTTCGTCTTACTTTTGCATGTAGAATTCACCCTGTGATTCTATACTTTTATTAACACCCTATATATGAGAACAAATTTTAAAGCTTTTTACAAGGAAACATCACGAACGCTGACTCGAGGATCGGAATGAAACTTTGTGGGTTGAGAGAGTGATTCGAGACAAGAATAACGGTATATTTCATTCGTGCCCAATGGCCCTTTAAGGGTGTAAAAACTAACCTCAATTTAAATAGGCACTGACATCTTTCTCGCGTATAACTCTTAAAGTACAAGAAATAGGAAAAAATACTTCTAACAAAAGTTTCGTGGTACAATACATGCTATAAACGTGCCTTAACAAAATTTATAGCGCTTATTGTACCATTCAACTTTTGTTTGAAACCTTCTATTTTACTTTAAGTTATACGTGAAAAAGTGGAAGTGCCGTGCCCATTTAACTTTGAGTTTAGTTTTCACATCCTTATAGGACGATTGGGCACGAATGAAACATACCGTTATTTGTGTCTTGAATCACTCTATAAATCCACAGTTTCATTCCAATCCATGAGTCAGCGTTCGCGGTTGTTCCCTTGTTAGTATTGTAAAATACATTTTGGTTGTTTTACGTTTTATAACGCATAGAAGAAGTTTTACTAACTTGAGAATAAAGTTGCACCGAAGACTCTCCCTTCAGTTGATGGCCGGTCAAATAAGTGTTGTGCGAGCTGGCGATGTAATACTGGGACAATGGCTGTTGCATTTCAATCTCGGACGGTGTCGCGTACTCGTTTGGGAAAGCATAATTGTCCTTGTCCATCATGTAACGTGCGAAGCCCTCGAAAGACAAACACCATTGTGTGCGTAGTGCTGGGTCCGGTTCGTGTCGCTGGAATCAGAGCAAATCGTCCTGGTTGATTGTACCGTCCTCCATCTCTTCGTATGCATATTGTAATGTAGTTCTATAACTCCGTTATAATGGTTAGTCTCTTTTTAGTTTTCAGAAACATTATAAACAATGGACTGGACACTTATGTTACTAAACGTGAAATATAGAAACAAAATTAAAAGATTACTTAAATTACGAAAGAAAGGAATTCTTATTAATTTTGCACGTCGTTAAACAAAATGTACATTTTATTCAGTGTTGTGAATAATTTTAATGTCTGTTTAATTAATGCGTTCGTTTACTTCAAGGATACTTATCCAAATGAATTGTGGCATTTTAACAATGAATTTTTTAAAAGAATTCTTCCCTGATTTCGCTCAAATGAGTTTGTAATCATTTTCACCAGTTCTTCGTCTATTTTTACGCGTGTTTTTAGTCTTTTTACAAATCAGTTTGTAATCATTTTCACCAGATCTTCGTCTATTTTTACGTGTGTTTTTAGTATTTTCACAAATCAGTGCCAGAATTATTCGATTGCATTAAATTGGCTCATTAATATGCAATACCTAGTGCATGATGCTTTCAAAGAATCTGTTAATTCAAAAACACTAGAATTTTTTGAAACCAGAACAGGTCATTGTATCTTAATTACATCTTTCGTAATCATGTTTCCCATATATAATGATATTTTATTGATACGCGTGAAATCTGTAAAATTTATTGTTACATAATATTTTCAAAACATGAGTGTCACTTTGGTTGTTTATTTCTCAACAAGTAACCACGTTTACAGGGCACGTTTTGTTTTACATTCAATTTTAAGGCTAAGTAAAGTAACAAGTTTTAAAAAAAGGAAAACTGTCATTTTGCAAATGGTTGGGGAGACCAGGGACAAATGTAACACCAATTGACCAACAGTTCTCTTCTCCTATCTTTATACACAAATTCCATCTGTCCTCCATGTCAGCTGTCGCCAACACGCAACAGTAAGCGGTTTTCCTAATACGACTACCCTATTGAAATAATATACCAAAAGTAAGTTTGCATTATCTCTTTCAAATGTGTATCTTTTTGTTTCAACTCTGTAAAATCCTCTGACAGTATTTGTCTTATATTAAATAATTAATGTAATTTCAGGTATATATAACAGTGTTCATGATAATAAGTTACGTTTGCATATAGTAACGTGTTTATGAGAGATAGCGCTAGTAGGGATAAAAGTAACAAGCTGTTACTTTTGTCCCGATTTAAGTTGTGGACTTTCTTTCATGCCCTTTGGTTTTCCGGGTATGCTATTCTAACAATTAAAGGACTATGGTTCCCTCCAGAATACCAAACCTATTCATAAAAGGAGTGTAGACCACGGGCTGGCTTCTGCAGAATTATATAAATTAGCTGCAAACGAGGTTATAAACAAACAAGTGTCATCCAGACACGCCTTAAAATCGGTTAAACTATGCTACATAACATTGTTTCGACGTGTTAAAAGGCAGGAAAGTATAAGCTGGAAAGTAACTATTACCACCGCAGATATCTTCGAAACTATAAGGTTCACAGAAATATTTACTTAAGCAAAATTGCACAGTACGAAAGGAGCCATCCGCTGGCGATAATAGTTTTTTTGCAGTTGGAGGTACTTTGGATATTTCAAAGGCACCTCCATGTTTTTTAAACGAATCGGTATGTTTTTGTTTCCGTAGACTGATAGAGGAGCTTAAAATAAGTTCAACGACCTTCACATAAGATCATAGGTGTTCGAAACAATGACCGTCACTATCAATGCAATACTGGATTCTTTTTATGACTAACTGACGTGCAAGTCTTATAACGTCAGAACTTATCGACTCACAGACTGCAATAATTCGCTGTTGCATGTCTTGGGGTGTAGTTGGTACTTCTTTGTACACTTTATCTTCCAATATCGAGCTGGCTACGATGTTAGACCGCCGCGTCGAATCCAACGATTTTGAAATTTTCCATCGAGTTCCCTTCGCGCAATCAATGAATAATGTGTTGGGCATCCATCGTGTTGATACCACATGGTTTGTCGTGTTAATAAAGACAATTCATCCAGCAAAGAACCCTGCTATCCTTAATACAATTAGCGTAGATGTTGCCATTCAAATTTCCATTGATAAAATGAGAATCAACAATTTTATCACCTGTGATACTGCACCATACGTTCACAGACCATTGTCTCTGGTGTTCAATCTGTCGCAGCCAAAGTGGATTTTCCGCTGCTCATAAATGCACGTTATGCAAATTAACATTCCCGTGATTTGTGAATGTTGCCTCATGAGTAAATAAAACGGTATTAAGAAATAACTCATTGTTTTGGATCTGATGTTTAGCCCATCGACAAAAATCAACACGATTCATGAAGTCCCCCTGCAATTGTTGGTGAAGACTAAGATGGTAGGGATGATATTTGTGACGGTGCAAAATGCGAAGTACGCACCTCCTACTGATGCCAGATTCGCGTTCAATTTGTCGCAACTTAATATGAGGATTTGTAGCCACACTTGCGAGCACACCGATTTCATTTTCTTCGGTCGTTACTCGCTTTCGGTGTTCACTTTTATGAACACTTAACACTGGAACTACCGACGATAAACGTATATCTATTTCTATCGGATCAATAAACATAACAAACTTCTGAAAATATTTAAATTTATAAATTAACTAATTTCTTCAATTTTATATTGCAATGAAAATTGCGAAAAATCTAAGAAAAGTGTTGTAATATTTTAATCGCCAATATAAGAATATACTAACCAGTCATTTTGACTGCTTTGGTAGTTCTAGTGTCAAACTACCGTTTTGCTTAAGTTATATGTTTAAATGTTTGACGCGAAGGCTGAGACCGATGTGGATATCGTTCAGCATATAAGTTTTTTGCCTTTACAGAATTTTGTTGGCATTCGCCATAAATAAGAAGCATATCGACTTGCTCTTCAATCGTATACATCGTACCCGGTTGACCGTTACAATACTATTCTTGTCATGTTTATCTTATTCTGATAACTTATTAAAGTGTCCTTCAAACAGTATTTATTTTCAGTGAAATAAACCGTAAGTAACCGTCGTTGAATTTGTTTTAACCTCCTCTACTATACTACGGAAACAAAAACTTATCGATCCATTTAAAAAAATGGAGTTGACCTTGAAATATCCAAAGTACCTCCACCTAAAAAAACCTATTAACGCCATCGGATGTCTCTCTTCGTACTGTGCAATTTTGGTTCAACAAATATTTCTGTGAACCTTATAGTTTCGAAGAAATCTGAGGTGGTAATTGTTATTGCTCCACCCTGTATAATTCTAGACGGTCAAACTGGCCTACATATATCGAGTTTGTTATACATATATCGTCAAAAAGGGTGTTTTCAAACGAAGAGGAAATAATTTTGCAACATTATTTGTTGCATTTATCCGCTATCGATTACAGTATGACAGCGAAAGAAACAAAAAATTGGCTTACGAGTTGGCAATAAAGCATAAAAAAATCTATCCCTGAATCTTGAAAAAAAATGAATGTTAATACTACGTACATGTTGGCTTTTTCTTAAATTTTAGAAGTGTATGTTACGTTTATGTTTATATTCATCTTTATATTTATGTTTATGACTATCTATAGACTAAATAAAAATATCATTTAAAAGCATGTTTTGCTTTTAGTTGGTTTTTCTTCAATTCAGATACGGTGTTACAGTTATCCTTAGGAGTAGGGTTCAAGTAACAAATGAGTGATTTTAAAGAAAGTCTTATTTCAAAAAGCTGATGCAATATATTCTAAGTTTTAAAGTTTGATTATATTGTCCAATAATCAAAGTTTCTCTTCGTGTAAGTTTGTTTTTTAAATTTTACAGTATTCAAAAGTTACGGGCTCAAAAAGAGAAATGGTTACGTTTGTTCCTGGTCTGTAATAAATTTAATTTAGAAAACTTCGAATATTTCACAAACGGCAAATGCACCGGGCCGCGAAGTGCAACGTCCGAGACGGTGACATCGTATCCTGCAGTGCCTAAACCCAGTGCGACGGCTCCGAGCGCCAGCAAGTCTTTCGCCTTTCAAGGACCCGAAATCCCGATCGAATCGATTAAAAGCGACAACGAACTTATCATTCATCTTCATCATCATTGGTATGTTAAGACTTATTTGTATCTTTTATTTATTTGACTGTTGGAATATATCTCTGTTGTTATCATAAACGAGAGTTATTTCCTATCCTTCCCGTTCCGTATCCACACTGTGTACTTCACCGGTAAGTTTAGACAGGGCGTGCTTCAGCACCTTAAAAGAGCCAGGACCCGAAATTATAAATAAAGTAACGACTGCAACGCGGAACGTTACACAAGCAGCCCATAATATACAAGGAATAATTTTGTTCTAAATGGAGGAATTTCGGAGATTTCAAGATCCTTTTCATTTCTTAAAGTGCCATGCTACACATTTTTATTCTTATTAAAATAGCGGAAGTTGAAAAGATTTTAACGACCTCTAATCCAAGGCCACTGGATAATAAATAAAGGATTAAACAACAAGTTTTTTATCATAAGAGATGCTCAATACATATATGTACAACATCCGTTTGCATGGACGCACAGTGATTCGATTCCTATATGTTAGGTGGTCGCAACTAATTTTCGAATAAACAATAACTAATTCTTTCGATGTAATCTATAATAACCATATGTTATAACTACTACACATTAAAACCTTAAATCCTGTTGTTACAGACGAGGCAAATCACGACTTAACGGCAAAGAATAAAGCGGTAGTTAAATGATCACGTTGCAGGCATCGATAGTAATATATTTCAAGCTTATTAAGGTGAATTTCAATTTCACATTTGTGATGGTTATAACATCTCAAAGTATGTATTTTAGTATTAATAACTTCAAATTATCCATAACTTTTTTGTATTTCTGTAAATCAGACTTCGAGTCAAGTTACTTCTTACTCAAGTTAGTTCAATTACTTCTTACTAGAAATTTGCATTATGCAAATATTTGTCAATGTTTTACTATATGTTCCACGTCATTCCACGCAACAAGAGTTGAATATACGAAAAGTAGAGATTTTCTAGTTTCTTTGAATGGCAAATTCGATTTGCAAAACTTTGCAAAACTATAGTTACGCGTTAAATTTAATCTTAACGCTCAGGCCCGTGGTATAGCGGTTTGTTTCCTTCAGCCGCTGATATTTAGGGACCAATCCTATGGTATCCTATACTAAAACACATTTTTACCATCTATCGCTCATTTTCTTGAATTTTCCACCATAAACAACGAGAATATCCCAGTTTTTGTCGTTAACTTTTACTCGTTTCTTCAGTCTTTGAGCGTCCTGTGTGCAGTGTACGTCACCTTATAGTGTTTTTCTGTTTATTATTTTCAGTTTCGTTGTTTCCACTATGGTTATTATTATGTTTTTATTCTTCTTGTTATTATTACTATCCTTGTTGTTGTTATTTATTTTCTTACATTAATTACAAAAATTATTTTACAACGCTAAAAGTATAACTCAATTTTTTATAATTCCAATTGGCCAAATGTTAGAAGAGGTTCAAGAAGCACGTCACGAAGATTGTCGTAGACTTGCGGGGAACATACTCGCAAAACATTAAGATTAAATGCCAATTTTGATTTATTAGCAGTGCTCTAAATTACTTCAGATATGTACATTGACAAATAGTTACCGTGAAATTCCCAAAAAGAAACTTAGCTCCTAAAACCCTGAAATAATTAAGTTATTAGAAAAAAGTACGGAAGATAGTAATTTGCAACTATATGTAAAGTGTAATTCTGTTTTTTTTTCATTCCTTTAATTAGTCAAAGTTTTTTGTTATTAATATTTTTAGTAAGATATACTGTGACAACAAACAGGGTCGTAGTCTAATAATTACAATTCTAATACCGCGAAAATATAGTTTTGTCTTGAAACAACTTTTTCCTTAGCAACAATGTAATCTGAGGCTTCGTTACCGAGATATTAACGAAAAACCCCGACCAATCAGAGCGCGAGTTTGCTAGAGTTCCCGTGCTAGCGGTGGCTACGCGCTGCGCTTGTACTACGAAGCTCCGATAAGTAGGTCAGCATGCATCGCAGGAAACTGAGAATAATAGCAAATAAATAAGACGTAACAAATACAATCATACTTTTTATTATCTGTCGTTTGTTATTTAAAGAGATTACTGAATGAAGCATAAATATAGGAAAATTATGTGTAACGTAAAAAGAGGAATGCACAGTTACTTTTTTAAACAGAATGGAAACTAATAATTATGTGAAGAGGGAGGCTCAGAAATTCGTAAATTCCTTTTTCAAGTAACGTATTAACGAAAAGGTAATATAACAGAAAATGAACGAGAAGTGATCATAATTCGTTATTGACATAAAAATCTGTAGTTTAATAACGGGCAACAATGTCACTGATAATGAATAAGTCTCTACGACAAGCCCGAAGAAAATTGTAGGTACAGAAACTTGCAAAATTACCGCAGGGAAAAATTCATAGCTTGCCTTAAATTAAGAAAATAATAATGACTAATAAACTGAATAGAACTCACCCTTACGGAAATTCACCTGCAGTTTGCAAACCTGTGTCATTAGGTCACTGGACCGATCCTGGTCATCGACTGCCGAAACGGTTTATGGCAGGGAATCGCCCAGTTCGCAAGTGATCGCAGGTATACCTCACCAGACGAAGTTAAGGGTTGTAACGTCAAGTGCGTCCTGGTTATTCCACCGAATACGTACTCACTTCACTGCACGACCACTAACACTGATCACCCGACACAATCACTTAATGTATTTTTAATCGAACATGTTGTTCCTATGTTAGGAAAATGGGTGGCCCTGAGACGAGCCGATTGTTTTCAATTTATCAAATGTTCTACGTAGCCACCAAACACTTGCACAGCAACAGCTGCATATCCGTTATTCTGTACGCACCACCAGAATATTGCGTAATACTCCCGTGAACTGAACATCTCTGTCGCCCGATTGCTAACCAACTGACAGAATTTTTCCGTAAGGGTTCCTCCAGCCCAAGTTACATTGTGAGTTCACTCCCACCACGACAAGATTTAGGTATAAAGAAACCAACGGTTCTAGGATAACACGTGCTTTGCAGCAGTGCAAGGAAAGAACCGTCGCGCAGTTTCACCAAAGCGCGTAGCCCGTTAATTTATTGCCAGGGTACCTACTGTTTCGAGATAGAAAACAGACATTCGTGCATCGGCTTGAAAATGTCCGTAATAAAGAAGATCACCAACGTACCCGTTGCTTCGAGTTGGAAAGTACAATGTACATTGTGTTCCTCGAGGAGCAGGGAAAAAATTTCACCGACACGTGTGAGTTGACGCTGCTTGACCCTGTCCGACCACCTTTCTACAGGCCGGAGTGGACTTTTCGGTTATTTATGGCTCAATTTCTTCGGCCTTGTAGCAACCGTAAACCAACAACAGAATAGACAATCGCTAATTTTATTACAACTCTGTGAAATTGTAGTTCGTATGAAAATATTTCATACATATTTTTTTTTAGTATTCCGTCAAATATCTTGGAAATTATTAGAAATATAAAAATCGTATTCGTTGAACTCTTTTCCGAAAAATAAGTCTATCGGTAGGGTGATGCGGTTCATATAAACGTAGCAGTAACCGATTGAAGACAGCGATGCGGTCCGGTTCAGGTAAAAGAAGGTCAAGCGATAACGGTCAAGCGATAACGGTCACTCAGCTGTTCAGTTTCGGATTCCGCGACTATATCTCTTCCTTGTGCGACGCGACCGTGCGATTACGCGCGGTCTACAGACGAGTTTTATAAGACACCGGACTGCGAAGTGCAACGTCCGAGACGGCGACAACGTATCCCGCAGTGCCTAAACCCTCTATCACGGCTCCGAGCGCCAGCGAGTCTTCCGCCTTTTCAAGGATCCGAAATGCCGACCGAACCGACCAAAAACGACACGAATCTACCATTCATCCTCATCATCATTGGTCTGTTAAGACTTATTTGTATCTTTTATTTATTTGACTGTTGGAATATATCTCTGTTGTTATCATAAACGAGAGCGATTTCCTATCCCTCCCGTTCCCTTTCCAGCTGCGTACTTCACCGGTAAGTTTAGACAGGGCGTGCTTTAGCACCTTAAAAGAGCCAGGACCCTAAATTATAAATAAGGTAACGACCGCAACGAGGAACGTAACATTCGCAATGTTCTGGTGGTACGTACAGAATAACGGATATCCGGCTGCTGCTCTGCAAGTGTTTGGCTACGTAGAACATCTGATAAATTAAAAACAATCTGCCCTTTTCGGGGCCACGAATTTTCCTAACGTAGGAACTACACGTTGGATTGAAAATACATTAAGTGATTGTGCTGAGTGATCAGTGGTCGTGCAGTGAAGTGAATACATATTGGGTGGAATAACCCGGATACACTTGACGTTACAACCCCTAACTTCGGCTGGTGAGTTATATCTGCGATCACCTGCGAATTGGGAGATATCCAGTGACCTAGTGACACAGGTTAAAATAAATTACAAAAATTATCAATAAGAAAAAATAAGAGCCACCCTTATGTTTATACATGTCATCAATATGTATTTTTATATATTGCAGACATAATATCAGTGGAACCAGTAGATTGATGGTTCGTTGGTCAATGCTCCTGAAATCGTATCAATCAGCCAAAGTTTTTTGTTTTCGTTAACATTTATTTTTAATTTAGTGGAACCTTTTACATCCATTTAAAATTAAATGAAGTTAATAAATATGCGGTTACAGTTCATGAGAAAACTCATGAATTTTGTGTAACATTTTAGATTGTTTCAAAGTATTTATTAAATAGAAAAATTACACAATATGAATCGTAACATCTCTTCAACAGTACCAATGATCCGCTTTCAATCACACAAGCAGGTACTGCATTCAATAATTCTTACTTTGAGGACAATTAATGAAAGCATTGAATGATAACTGTTTAAATTTTATTGGGGTTCATCGCAACATTATTTCATTTTAGATAGAATTAATAAAATGATAAAATTTGATACATTCCACTTACTTAAAAGTTAAAACATTCTTCATGCCACGCTCAAAATTACGCATCAAATATCATTCGAGACAAAATCTTATTTTATAAGTAACGTTAATAAGAGTTTTCGAAGATACTTAAACAAAGAATAGTGTTGAAATTTTTCTGAGAGTAATTCTTCAATTTCAATAAACTATCTAAAAAAAAGGACATGACAAAGATACTTTACTTTAAAATGCATAAATAATGTTGCGACAATTATATTTGGACAGCTGAGCTTTAAATTAAGAAGTAAGTAATTTTATAAAATCCTCATACCTTAACAAGTGCCTTGATTTCGTCATCCGATAATTTCTCTTGTTGTCGTGATTCCAGAAATTTCGTGAACGTTGCCAGAGTGATGACTTGGGATTTCGAAGTGTCAACGCCGGAACAATTGTTAATGATGCTAGCTGTAGCCACTGCATCCAGAACTTGTTTCTTTTGCATATTGCTGCTACTTTTGTATTCGTGACAGTCGATAGAGTTATTCCTCGTCAGGAGACCTGCACAGACAATTTTTTCATTTTCATTATTCTTAATAATGTCAAACAGGCTTCTTCATAATATTATTTCTTTCATTAGTGGTCTTAGAATATTCGATTATTAAATTTAAGAATTCTGACAGAAGGCTGAAATATATTTGATTAGAGTCTAAAATTCTAAAATTCCGAAAATATTCCACAGCCATTAGTACTTACAGTAAGTAGAAACAGTAAGAAAGAAACAGGCCTGTTAACCCTCCGAGCACGGAAATATGGTCACCGGTCCCTTTGTCATTTCTGACCCCACACCGATATTCTGAGGCCCTCACCGACATTGTACAAACCTAGTGCTATGGTTTGTTTTTCGAAAGATGATGCCTGGGAGGTAGGCCCGAATTTTCGCGGTGTTGCCGCGATCGCAAGACACCTACGGCATTTGTGTCTCTCTCACTTTTCACACTTCTGTCTCCATCACACGTATTGCAAACCTCTCGAGAAGGACCTACCTACAATCTCAAGGAGTGGGGCCTGCGTTCGGCACGTGGCCGTCAATCATCCATTGTCTGGAAATGGCGGAGAATGTTGACGAGACACAGAACGTTTTCACACGTTAAAAGTTAAAATACATGAATAAGAAAAACTTTATTTCCTTTGAAAGAATGTATTGTACCCAAATATTGAGCAACATATTAAAGGGGGATTAAATTAATACGTAGGTTATTAAACGCTACACGTGGAAATTGTAGGGTAAAGAAGGAAGTTGGTTTACCGAGCGTCTGAGTGAGAGGCTCTCGTGCCGAAGTGCTGGAGGTTGGAAAGAGACACACAGTGGCAATAAGACCGTCACAACGTCGCACGAAATACGTAGCTCACGTTGGATCCCCGCCAGGCCACGCGCCGAGGCAGGCCAACCTCCCAGGCATCATCTTTCGAAAAACAGACCATAGTATGGCTCAAGCTCGAGACCCTAACTGATATTACTTCGCAGTGGCGGTTGCTCGAGCTCGAGGTTGAGCCTCTGTCACCATGTATACAATGTAATGATTAGTTGGTTCCACATTACATTTGGATTTTCGTGGTTCTTATTACACTAAGTAGAATAAAAATCTCGTGAATTATAAAACAAATTATATTTATTAGTCAATACTTCTGCGGCGTCTTGGCTCGGTCGCTCGCATGCAAACAAACATCGGTCGCTATGCGATTTACACAACAGCTCCGTCACTGCGTACGTGTCGCTCTCGAGACGGCGTGTCCCCGCTCCTGACTCTGTCACTGTGCATGTCGCTCTCGCGAACGCGAGACCCAGGGACCGTACTCGCAGGGTTAATAAACTTCATACAAAAGCACTTTTTTTGAATTCTATTTTCTCGGAAACGAAATATTGAGTAACAAAACTTCATTTCATGTTTTCGATTTATTTTTGTATGCGAAACAAGCTTATATAAATTTGTACTATCAATATCGGTGCCCTCTGTGTATCAAATTATTACTCTAAATGTTCGATTATGTTTTAGTTAACTCCAAAACTAAGTGCACATAAACTTCCATCAGGTCAAGATTAAGTGGCATCTCGACGTTGAAGTTCTCTAAACATACGTTTAAACTGCTGCAATATTGTATTGGCGAACGCACTGTTCAGTCGGAATACTAAATTGTTTCGGAACAATATACGAGTTATATGCCCCAGTGCCTGAGATTCAAAGCAATATATGTTTAGAAACGGGTTACGTACATAAATGCCAAATGTTCTTTTTAATAATATTCATTGCATCCATTGCAAAAGCCATATAAATTTCATTATTCATTTCTTATGTCTTATATGATATCACTTGTATAGGCACTCCCACTCTATCGCCTATAATTTCCTTATTTGTCCATAGATGTTGCTCAGGATGGGCTTGTTTTTTTCGTAAAGGTGTGTACTCTACGTAAAAAAAAAAGAATCTGGACGATATAAGTTTCGCTCGATTTCGCCGAAACTATTGGTCCGATTGGAAAACAATGTAGGAAGGAATTGCATGTAATTTAATTACCTTTAATTTAAAAGTCATCGCGATCAAATCAGTCAACTATAATGCGAGATACGGCCAAAAACGTCGGGTCGTCTTTTTAAAAAATTACCAAAATATTCATCCGGCGACATCTCAAAACCGTATCCATAGAATTACGTCTCATGTCAATTTCTGAGTTTAGGCGACCACCTTCCATAAGAATTTCATAGTGGAGTCTGGATCACATAGAATTTTTTGGATTTTGTAAACTAGTGTAATTAATACGCCGTACTTGTGAAGTTTGTTAATAGAATTACTACCAAACATTGTTACATTTATCATGCACCTCAGATAAGCTGCTTCATTGAAACTTTCATTTCCAATTTCAGGATACGGTATTTTTATACGAAGTAGGAAAAACCGCTCAAACAGTGTTAGAAGCAGATTGAAATCAATAAAGCCATCATGAGGTTCCAGGGATTGATTTCCGCGCTACGTTTAATCTCTCACGATTTGTTTCTTCGATTCAAAGAGAAATTACTGATAAAGCGTAATTAATTTAAATCGGTAAATTAAGTGAAAGAGAACTTATTAAACCTAGTAGAGACCTTGATATAAGAGCAAGTATGTAGATATGTTTGGTATAATATGAAAATGAGAATACTGTTATGTTTTAACGTTGGAGAGGAATATATTGAAAGACAGAGAAATAAAAATTTAATATTTTCGACTGAGGCGCATGTATCAGTTCTGCTATTTTATAATTTGACTTTGTATGTAGGAGAAAAAGTGACAATTTAAATGACTACAACTTTTATAAAAATTTTTATATGACATTGCTATGTATTATTGTTTTTGGACATTTTTTTTCACACTAGAGAAAGTATATAGAGAAATAGAAACTTAACTTAACATGACCAATGAAGTATGTACTTTCTTTGATATTTAGTATTCGGTTCTAAGGAAATTAGGAATCTGATTGATTAGTATAAACAATTTTTTAACAATATCTTACTTTTTTGACATAACAAAAATATAGTCAAATATTTTTAGTTTAATTTTGTTTTGTTGCATAATTACAGAAATAGTAAATTACTCATTACTATATTTAATAATTATACAGGATTCCACTAAGGTAATGGTGCACACAAAACAGAATGAAAAAATAAGAAAAATAGTTCAATCAAAAATAGGTAATCGATAATTTCGTCTTCAAAATAACAACGTACAACATACGTATCAGTATCGTAATTTTGAAATAACGATTTATGGGTCTGGACATTAAAGGGTTAATAATACGTATAAAATATGGACGTGAGTACCATTTAGTGTCCACTCATTACTGATTATTTCCGTTTGTGTTACTGATTACAAACATTGGTTGTAGATGATATTATTTGCGTTCTACATTGATTTAATATTAACTGATAATTGGGATACACTGAGATAAATGGGAAACAGATAATATCGCATCATTATTGATGTTTAATACGAGCAGAAATAGTGAGTAATATACGCACACATTACGAGTCCAATTTGAAACCATACGTGTCCAACCAATACTCAATATTTTTTTATAGTCAAAACCCTAAACAGAAAATATTCCACATTTTCATTATGAATTCACTGCCTTTAGGATTGTACCACAAGGTCGTAGATATTTTGTGTATTCATACAAATATTGTATAGTTCAGTTTTTATAAACACGTTACTGCTTCATGAATACATACATTTTTCTTCTATATGATTACATTCTGCAAAATAACTTTTATCAATCAACAAAAAAGTGCTTTTGTCAAATAATGGAGAAAGAGGCATTGGTTAGTAAGTAATTATATTATCAATATAATGACAGGAAATATGTGAAAAATTACTTCATTAGACAATATTTCAATAAGTGGATAAAGATAATTTCAATTAATTCTCTATTTCAATCAATACACGTGTGGGACAACGGTTGTTAAATTGAACATAATATTGCGTTTACTATCGCGATAATGACGTATGGTATGTTTGTATAACATTCCATAAACCAAATTGTTACTGGTTCCGATATTTCCGATTAATTGACAGAATTAATTCCGCGATTCGCAGTTAATACAAACGATATGGTAATAGCATTATCCTTTGTTGCCTGTATTTCGAGTCATATACAACTAACTGTAACCAGCTGATACGAAATAAGGAATCTAATTCTACAAACGTTATCTGACATTTGTTGACATTTTACTACAGTTTAATATTTGAGTATAGCGGTGAGTATTTTGTTTCTATTCTTTAAATGTTAATGATATGTTCGTATTGTTCTCTGTTAAATCTGGTCCTTATCAATGCCTGACAACTACTGGTATAGATCAGGCCTGGCCAAACATTCGCCCGTGGGACCAGTGATGCCAGAATCGTGGGTTGCTTTATCCCCACCACTCCCCAACTCCGACGTACCATCATCTCCCACTATGCCGTCCGGCGTCTCCCACTTTACGTCCACCGTGCTGGCACACCAAGCATATCTGAGCCCTGTCCATGTGCGCTGCCCGTTCGGGTCTTTCCGCCGACATTCGGTACGTCACTCGACAACGTAAACAATAAGGTAACCTTGGAGACCCTCATCGAATCTGAATTCTCACCGCGGCGAAAATTCACGTTTTCGATGCGATGCCCGGAAACCTAGCGCGTGAGCAACAGTCAGGAGACCCTGTTGGAATCCCAATGCGGCAGTTTTACTTTTTATTTTTAATTATTTTGTAATTTTACTTTGGAATCTCCCAGTAAAATAAAAAACTTAAAAATATTCATTTGTGAGGCATTTAAAAAGAAGAAAATAAATGTTTCCACTTCAGTATTTTAATTTTTTTATATATACATACATATTATGTTATATATGCACAAATTATTGTGACAATTAGATGTTATTCTTACAACCCTAATCATTTCGACAGTAATAAATTTCTAAAAGCTATTTCAACGGTAAGGGACTTTAAATTAGGTGCAATCATACGCGTCGCCGAATACGTTATTGTTTCATTA